GCCACTTTTGCATTTGAAGAGAATTTAATACAGGAAAGTGTGAAATTGAGATGAGACAAAACATAAAAATACTCCAAATACAAATCCTATTATGGTCAAATTGTTTGGAAGCTCCATCACTACCTGCAAGTCCCTTCCTTTCCTCAATAGATGTTCTCAGAGAGCAGGATGGGAGTCGAGCCTCCCTGAATTTCTCCCACACACCTGCGAGTAATCATCTTTCATTAGGTGGAGCATAATAGCCTGTGGCCTATTCTCTGACACCAGAGTGCTCGCCTATGTAACTCCAGCCCCTCTGAACCTCAGGTCTTTGTCTGAAGTCTTTTTAGTTGTTCTCAACTAAGTTTGGGTTCTACCTTACTAGGTACGCTGTTACGCAGGATTCTACCGAGATCATGGATTCTTTCCTCTGGTTCGGAGTGATATCCACAGCGGTCTATACCCTGCAGCTTCCCCAGTTGGTCCCAGCTGCACCGTTCGTCCTCTTATTCCCACGTCCCCCCTTCCGAGTGAATTGCTCCTCCAGCACTATATTCTGAGCCCATCTCCCAGTAGGTTTTGTTTCATTGTTGGGCACTCTTGTTAATACGCTGTCGCACTATTGTAAAGAAAGCGAAAGTGCTGCTTTTTCTCCAGATGGTGTTTCTGCATGTAGGTTAAACCGATTTCCAAAAGCATGGCAGAATACGCTGGCCAATACGACCCAGTAGATGCCCTCAGGAGAACAACGCAGAACAGCACTGTCTGATCGAGTCGCATGACGCCATACTGAGAACTCTTGGCAAGTGGCAAGAAGCTACTAATCAAACCTGGAGCAGGTAGCTCAACTATTGCTGAGGTCACAGCCCAAGAAACCAACTTTCCTGTGGAAGATCTACCGGCCACCCAGCAGCTTTCCACTCACGAGATGTCAGTTCACCTAACCCCGAGAAATTCTCAGGTGATGCGGGCAGCTCTGGAGGATTTCTCTTACAATGCTTGCTTGTATTTAACCGCTCCCCAAATTTCTTCCCACATGAGGATGCGGGAAGGAAGATCTAATTTCTTCTTGGGCTTCTATCTCAGAAAACGCTAAGATGGGCCAAGACACACATCACTGACTATTCCAGTTTTGGTTCCACTTTCAAGCAAGTCATTGAAGAGTTTAAATCGGTCGTTAATGAGGATGCTGATCAGGTAGGTGTAGCCCACTGTTAGTTGTCCTTGAAGCAGGGACAAAGATCAGTGGCAGAGTTTTCCATTGAATTTTGTACCCTAGTCACGTCCTCAGGCTGGAATGCCGGTGCATTAAAGAGAGCCTTTTTTCATGCTCTCAACAAGCCCATAAATGGCGAGTTGGTGCAGTAGACGAATCCAAACCATTAAACGAGCTGATAACCCTTGCAACCTGCCTGGACAACCGTCTAAGAGAAAGAAGGACGTAGAGAAGTACAAGGAGCTTGGAACGACCTCTGTTACTACCACCTCCTATGGCACCTGCACTCAGACTCCCTAGTTCTCAGTCACCAGAACCAGAACCGATGTAGATAGGCCGGACCCACCTCTTTCCGGAGGAATGGCAGCAGAGAATGGTGGCTGGCCAATGCCTAACTATTGGTGGTTTTTGTGCAGAATTCCTTCCCGCCATTCTGGACTTTAATAAGATTCACTTCTCCTCACTGCATTAGAGGTGAAGTGATCCATTCTACAATTGAATAGATCAAGCTTTCATTTCCCAGGCCAAAGCATGGTTTTCACATTGTCTCTCCTCCTGTCTGCAGTCTGTCGCCCCACCAAGTCCCGCTCTGGCAGCCAGTCATGAGGCAAACCCGATCAATCTAACAGGCACCCCAAAGTTTACCATTATGTCAAGGAGGTCTTCTGCAAGGACAAGGCTCTTTCCGTCCCTCCGCACCACTCATATGACTCCTCCATCTAGCCATTTGTATATTATCTCACAACCTGAATGTCAGGCGATGAATACATAAATGAGACCATCACTGCCGGTATAATCCGTTCTTCATCTTCCCTGTTTGGAGCGGGCTTATTCTTTGTCAGCAAGAAGGACTGCTCCTCCGACCCTGTACAGATTAAAATAGCTTAAATAGTATCACCATAAAGAATAAATACCCCCTCCCACTCATCTCAGCATTAGAAATGGTTCAGGAGACCATCATCTTCACCAAGCATCACCTCCGTAATGCCTATCACCTTATCTGTATTTGCCACGAGAGTGGAATTTAGCATTCAAGACCCGATTGGCCATTTAGAGTATCTGGTGATGCCTTTTGGACGATGTAACTCAGCAGCAGCGTTCCTAGCCCTCATTGACGACGTCCTCTGTGACTTTCTCAACATATTTGTCTTTGTTTATCTCGATGACATACTTATCTACTGTAAGAGCCCAGAGCAGCATGACAGACGTATATCTTGTTCTGCAGTGCCTCCAGGAGAATCGCTTCTTTGTAAAGGCAGAGAGGTGCAAGTTTCACCTTCCTTCGGTCTTATCTGGAAACATCCTGGAGGGGGCGCAGGTTTGATCAGACCCTGAAAGGTTAAGAGTAGTTGTAGACAGTCCCCATCCCAGGTTCTAGAAAGCAGCTGCAAAGATTTCTGGGTTTTGGTAATTTCTACTGCAGTTTATCCACAAGGATAGCCTTACTGTTGCTCTTGTCACCACACTGACTTCACCAAAGGTCACCTTCTAATGGACTCCAGAAGCCGATCAGCTATTCAACGAGCTTAAGGTGAAGTTCTCCTGTGCCATAGTTCTGCGCAGATATAATAAATAGTATAGGTCAGGGGCACTCCTGGTCCTCGATCACAACATCAAACATCACATTCAACCATGTGATGTTTTAGGAATGTTTTAAAGTTTGGAGGTCAGATGAAGCATTTTTGTAAATAAGCCCCACAAACCTCAGCCATGACCGTATTAAATATGGAAGGTAAGACTTAAGGCATGACAGTATATGCAAAGTTTGGCAAAATAAAATTGCCAGTTTTTGGGTGTAACAATAAACGTCCTGAAGGTGTCGCGTCTGTTGGCGGCCATCTTGATCTGATCCAGATGATTTTTTGGCAGCGTTATCACAGACATTTAACCAACTTCCTCCAAATGTTCCTTCCAGGTCAGACTGAAAACAGTTTTTTAACCGTCTTCATAATTTGGAAGGAGTTTGTCAAAGTTTTCACCCCATCAGGCTGTTTGTAGCGAACAAAGGCAAATTTAGCAAAATGTAAATGCATGTCAGGTTTATTGACGAAAGTTGGATGAAGATTGGGGAAGAAAAACAATAAAATCTAAAGAAAACTAGAAGACACTGAAGAGAGATGAAGCTGCACATCAGTGATCACAAGGTCTGTAGATGTTATTGATTGTGATGCATTTCATCCTCAGCACATCAGATCTGATGGTCGTTATTGGGAGAAATACGTGGTAATGGATCTGGAAAATATCAACAATATAATCTCAGCAGAATGCATTTTAGACATCAGAAAGTAAAATATCACCAGTTCTAAACCTGCAACAAGGCATTTGGAGACTCAAGGCTGGTTTCTGGCTTTGATGCAAAATTAAATGTATTCTTTCTAAATAATGCAGAAAGACCCAGGCTGGGATTCAAACCCAGGACCTTGTTGCTGCAAGGCATTAGCGCTACTGACTGTGTTACTGAGCTGGACTGGACATTACAGCTGATGAGGGAAAAGTTTTAACGATACTGCAGAGTTTGGACAAAACCTGCTCCACAGGATCACATGGCAACCAAACTCTGGATATTTTATGATGTGATGCTACGTGTTTTATACAAAAAGGAAGAAATTGAGGAATCAAAAACAAGAATAAACAAATTAATAAATAAAATAAATACATAAAAAAAACTATATGAATGAAAATTAAATGCAAAAATGTAACCTTGCTTATATGGATAAATGTAGAAAAAAAACTTATGTCAGTTAATTAATTTGCCAATTAAATATCTGGATTTGTTAATAAGGTTAAGAACATTAAAAATGAAGCTGTTATTGATGGAGTTTCCTTTGATAAAGGAAGGCATTTAAATCACCTGGATAAAACAAATGTGACATGAATGTTTTTCAATGTTGTTATTGAATATAAAAAGACTGCACTGAAGTTAGACCATAAACTCACTTTGACATATATAAAGCACCTCCAGGTACTTGTAGGTTCCAGGACAGGGATCTCCAAACACAAAATTACTGCTGAGACAGTACACTCCGATTCCGCCGCACATCTGTGGATCCAGATCAAAATCAGTTTTCTTGAAATTGTGATTTGGTGTTTCTTGGATTTGTTAATTAATATTCTGTTTTGAAAATCCTTTAACAAAGACTGAAGCTCTGTACCTCTCAAGTTCTGAAGCTCCATTCACAGAACAATTAGTATTCTTTGTGCGTTCGCCAGGAATAAATTGGGAGCACGTCGTTCCGATCGCGGCGTCCATATCTAACGCTGATCAGAATAGCGCCCCACTTGCTATTGGAAGATAGAAGAGGAAATGTTGGAAATCTGAATGTATTCATGCTGTAATGCTCCAGACCAACCAGTAAAACCAGTGACCTTACCACACTTGATAGGACCAACTGATCCCTCACATGTCACATGGGACAATATTCAGCCAACGACCTTGATTCTGTGATATGAAAGATTCAGATATTAATATCAGACACTGAAAAGTTCAGCTATCCAGGATCTAATGAAAAAATGTATGTTTCATAATTTTAGATTCAATGATCTTCATATTAAAACTTGCAACACTAACCTTTCGGTTTCTGAAAACCACGTCCTGCCTGTTAAAAATAAATAAACAAAAGACAAAATTAATCACAAATGGAAACGACAGAAGATTTTTACTTCAAGCTTCTTGGAGCTGTAAGCATCAAACTAAAATCTGGTTAACAACTAAACAAAAAAAAACTACAATTGCTAAATAAAACCAGTAAAATAATGTTTAACAATAGATATTCAAACCACAAGAGAACAGAAGGTTTTCACTCACATTGATTTCCAGGATGAATCCACAGAGGAACAAAGTAAAAAGGATGAATTTCATCTGTATGAAAGCAGGAACATTCAGTTACTCTGAGATATGACTGAGAAAAACTCAATGATTTTATGAAATATTTATAACAATCTGCTGAACTAAATGACATACATTTTAATTCATAAATATGAACATAAAAGCTTTTAGTAAGATTTAAACTTACTGTTCCTTCTTTGTACGCTTAAATCTCAGCATATCAAAATGCAACTATAGGTTGACATCATCCAGTTTTAGTCAAATCTTACCTTGTGATGAAGAATCAAAGCAGCAGCAGGACTTTCTGGAAGCAATGTGTCTTCAACAGGGGAATGGAGGGTTTATAAACCTTCACTGATGATCTGGCAGGGAAGAAAATATTTTACTCCAACAATTCAGCCTGCTGAGTTTTTCTGATCAGAAGTTCAGGTTGGTGATGGTGTGTCACACCTGAAGCCATTTCTCCTCATTCCTATTGATAAATCATTGATCATCTCTTTATAGCCCCCAGCCCAGCTCGCAGGTCACACCAGACTGAAAATGATGGGATGAAAAACCCAGTTGGGTTTTAGATACTGGCTGCAGCAGCCAGGTGGGATTTTCTGTTAACAAAGATTGTTGGCCTTGATGTGGACCGTGATTCTGTCAGCCGTCTCCATCTGCTCTCTGGTTTCATACAGGAATCATAAACCATTGATGTCTTATCAGCTCTATGAAATCCCAGTCATTTTACTCTTGGATGAGTTAATACATAAAACCTCCTAATATCTCTGGAAACATGTTGGAGCTCACGATTCCTTCTGAATTTGCTTTTTCTCAGTTTTGTCAGATTGTGGACAAATTTTAGTGTCATGTAAAGTTGATCCAGTAAATACAAAATGTGTTTTAAATGCTTAATCATTTCAATCCTATGTATACAGTTTGTTGAAATATAGCTTTATTTATCATAGCCTGATGTAAATACATTTAGGAAGAGAGAAGAAATAAATCTTTGATATTTCAGTCAGGAAATGGTCAGCAAGTCGTTTCTAAGGCCTTGGGATTCTGGAAAAGCATAGAGAGAACTGTTATCTGTAAATGTGATGTGGGTGTTTCTGCAACAGAGTCTGTGCTGCTTTGTCTGGGACTGGAGGTTCATGTTTATGTTTATAATTATTTATGTTGAATGAGATCCCATAAGCATCAGCAACATGCTGTAAACTACAAAAGGATTAAAATATCTGGTGTGGATGGTGTGATATCTAATGATAAAGCTCCTTCTCACAGACAAAATGTTTAAAGCAAACTTTTAGGAAAATAAAGCATCGGTTTTTTAGCAACAGTATAAAATACAACCGGTTTTCCAAACTACCACCTTAAGCATGATGTTACATTCTGACTTCTAGGAAACAGAAAAGGTAAATAAGCTCTAATAATCAGAAACGAAGAAAAGCCGGGCCGTGTTGTTCTGCACATTTTTTAAAATGTTTCCTGTAGTTTTTCTTGTCTAATGAGTTCATTAGTCAAGGAAAAACCTATTAGTCATCGTTTAAATGCTTTTAAACATGCAAAGATATTGTCAGACCCTCCATCAACACAAAAAGCACAATCTTCACTCATTGCTTTTAGCAAAACTAACAAGTGAGTATTTTCTTGACTTTTGGATAAGTAACATTTAAATACCCAAAGTAGTTTTGTCCTCCAGTGTTGTCCTTATCATAAACATGCAACACGTTTCTTCAAATTAAGCAACTGTTTCTTGATTCCAATGCATTTGCTAATCGCAGATCTGTTGTGAAATTGCATTTTTTTCTAACAAATTCTTAGAAATTTGCTTAGGAGTAAAAAGTGACATTTTTTATATTATATTTGAAGTTTTAACAATGTGTTTCTGGCAACTGTCTCAGCTGCAGAGCGTTTGTGGTTTTAGATTTAATTGCTGTCTTTGACACAGTGGCATTAAGTTTTAATTACAGAAATAATGCAGCTTCAGGTTAAAATCTTATTTGGTAGAACAAACTATGTGTCAAGCTTTGTAGGGTTTTATCTCTGCTTTTTCAGTCTGGGGTCCCATTATATTGAGCTTCACATTCTGTTTATATCCGGACCTTTGGTTCTATTCCTGGAAATGTGGAGTTTTATCTTCCTCTTATGAAGAGAAGTATTTTTTCACATTTCTTGATGACATGAATGCGTGTATGTTTTGTATTTACCACCCCAGATTTTCTGCACAGTAACTTACACAGGCCAGATCAGCGAACATGTAAAGCTTTTCGCTCCAAGACTGACTCAGTCAGTGATGTATTTTGAGACTTTTCTTTGAATATTTCAAATGTTGGATTTCCAACTCAGTTTATCTTTAAAAATGATTCTTAGAGATGAGTTTTTATGAACTGCTTCAATATTCACACCACCTTTTTGTATTTGAATTTCTGTATTTGATTGAAAGTTCCCAAAATAGCATTATTTATGTTTGGTTCAAGAACAGTTTATTTTCATCAAATGATTAAGTTAGTTATTTTATTATAGTATTTAACAGGTAATGAAATTGATCACACTGTTGGCATTGACTTTAATCCCATTCCATCTCTATATGCCGATTTAATAATTATTTTTCTAACCTATCAGTGTCATAAAGTGGTGTGGTGGCGGTGGTGAGGCAACACGCTGGAGACCCAGGTAAAGTGAGTAGTGAATATTTAATGAAAACAAGTCCACAAAAACACAGTCAACAGAGTCCGCGGCCAGGCAGCACGGCTGAGCGGAAGCCAGGGCTCAACGCCGGTAGCAACTGGTCATACAGGCGGCTAACAAAAACAAAGGCAGACAACGACGTGCAACGACAAGGACCCGACGAGGGACAAAGGACACAGGAGGGACTAAACACACTGAGGGTAATCAAGAGAACGAGACACACCTGGGAGTAATCAAGGGGAAGTCAGGACAACGAGGAGACTCAGGACACAGAAACTCAGAATAAAAACACAGAAAAACATGGAACATGACAGTCAGAGGCCTTCTGTAATTCTTCTGCTTTTCATCCTTCTATTTGTTAATTCAAACATCATTCCTTTCATCTGGTTGTTCCTGATTACATCTTGAATTACTAAACTGCAAAAAAAAAAAATCATCTTAAAGGGACAAACAAAACAATCCGGATCATGATCAAAAATATTTTGCTCTCTGAATCAGAAACAAGCAACCTCTGCTAACATCAGGCCACAGTCAGCAGAACCAGCAGAACACACTCAGCACTGAACTGACAGAGAAAAAAGTTGACGTTCAAGAACAGCTGATCCAAACAGAGAGTTAACCTGACACATCCCTACGTCACCCATTACCAGCCTGGACTTCTGGTCTGAGAACCTCAACAGGATGAATTGTTGCCTGGATAAAGACATTTTGTTCCTCTGTCAGATCATCAGTGAAGGTATTTAAACCCTCCATTCCCTGGTTGAAGGCACACTGCTTCCAGTGAACCTGGTTTCTGCTGCTGCTGCTTTGATTCTTCATCACAAGGTAAATTTGACTCATCAAACCCAAAACTAAAACCTGCTTACAATTCTGTTCTTCTGATATATTTTATGATAAAATCTAGTTCTGATTGTCAGAAACATAAAAACTTGTTTCCATCATGTTCGTATGGATGGATGAAATGTATCATTTGGTTCAGCAGCTTGTTAAAATATAGAAATCATCTAATATTTTCAGTTTTATCTCAGAGTTACTGATGTTTCTTATCTCCATACAGATGAAATTTGTTCTTTTTACTTTGTTCCTTTGTGGATTCATGCTCAAAGTAAATGTGAGTGAAATCTTTCTCTTCTGTTTGCTGTTTAGAAAATCAGTTGTTATTAATGTACTTTTAGTGTTTTTATCTCTTTATTTTTGTCCATATGTGAAACAGGCAGTGAAACACTGAAATGTGTCTGTATGAACTGCAGATAAAACGATGATAACTTATCAACTCTAAAAACTTTGAAGACAAAATGTTTTTCAAAGTAATTATTTTTTATATCGGTCTCTTTTAATTAACAGGAAAAGTTCATCAGGGAGGTTTGTGCTTTAATGTTTCTGGTGTTTGGAGTTCACAAGGTGGCGCTGCAGGTTTCAGTATGAAGACAAGCTGGGGCATGAAGGCTGATGTTGAACGTTCATCATTTATTGGATCTAAAACTGCTAAACACAATTTGGACTTTTCCGTGTCCTGATATTAATATGATCTGAATGTGTCATATGCAGAATCCCTCCCAGAGGAAAAATCCCTCGTGGCATGTGAGGGAACAGTGGCTCGACTCTACTGTGGTAAGGTCACTGGTTTCACTGGTCGGTTCTGGAGCATTACACCATGAATACATTCAGGTTTTCAACATTTCCTCTTGGCTCTGGCAGAAGAAGGTCAGGCTATCTATGTGACCAGTGCTACATATGGACGCACTGACAAGAAGAGGTGCAGCGCTGGGAGACCTGCTGACCAGCCAAGAACACCGAGTGCTCCACAGACGCAGGGAAAGTTGGTGAGAGGTACAGAGCTTCAGTGTTTCCTGAAGGTTTATCAAACTGGATGTGAATGAGTGAATGAGGAGGTCTAAGAAAGGCAAATCGCTGACTTTGACCCGAATCCACAGGTGCAACGGGAAACAGTGGTGTAAAGTCAAAGCCAGGAACTATGTGTTGGGAGATCCCTGCTATGGGACCTACAAGTACCTGGAGGTGGAATATATTTGTTACGGTGAGTTCAGGCTCTCACTTCACAAAAATCTTTCTCAAAACAGGAACAGCTTCAACAAGTTGGTGCAACACAAACAACAACTTTATGGATGCTATTTTTGCTCATTTTAATGTTGTGTCTCTTCTAAACAAAAATCCATCAGTAGCAGCTTTATTCACTTTGTTCTTTAGCCTGATTAACAAATCCAGGATATTAAATTAGCAAATTAATACAAAATATTAGTGTTTTCATTAAACATTAAAAATTATCTGGTCTAAATTCAGTTTTTATTTTTATTTGTTTATTTGTTAAAGGCGTTTTTCCTTCCTTTCATCCATTTTTGGTTTTAAATGTAAAAGTCATGATAATCGAAAAATTATAATTTCTTCAGACTTTGAAAACCCTGACCGATCTCTTCATGACACTGTCTTTGTCAGAGGCTTCTCCAGGCTCACTGTAACACTGACTGCTACAAGAGATCTCTTCTGCCAAAAGCAGTTTATCATCTACACTGTAAAATCTAATTAGTACCAATACTTCAAAAAGCTTGTAAATGGACTGCACTTAGCCAAACATATTTTAAGTTGCATCAAAAAGTGCATCCTTTGTTTTGAACATTTACAGATTAGTTAAAGCAGCTCAACCCATCAAGCACTTAAATCAAGAACCACATGCCTCAAATTTCTATGCATAAATCAAAAACAGGTTCCAATCTTCTAAGTTAAAATTCAGAAATACTTTATTGGTGCATTCTGACTGAAGACACTTTTTCCCCAAGACAGTCAGAAAAGGTTGTCAGAGTTGTCAATATTTTACTTGATTTTATAAATAATCCTGTGCCTCATCATCTTTATTATGTCCAGATGTTCCCCAGTTGTGCCCAGAATAGAAGCAGAAGTCGCCTTCTTCTTCAGGATGCCGACGAAGGCTCTGATGCTGCTGCCCCAACAGATGACGCAGAGGGCAACAGACTGAGAGAAGATCTGCAGCATTCTGCTGCAAACCTGGAAGAATCTTAGCTCCCTCAAGAAGCTGAATGAAAATAATCTGAATTGCAATTAAACATAATAAATAAAGTAATAGAGTTAGTTTGAAAATATTTTTATTTTCATTTCTGTAATATAAAGATTAATGACAGCCTTTTTGTTAAACTGCTTCCTTTGGTAACTACTTCACCCAAAATAAGAGAAAATTCAGAGAGGAATATGTTTGTGGCCTTACATTAAATAATTCAGTTTTTAAGGTTTATAATGTATTCCTCTCACTTCACAGGAGCCAGGCTGGTAACTGAACTCTGCTGGCAAACTGTTAGCATGCAACCCTTATCAGTGTTTGTAGTTTGTAACAAATAGATCCATGAATGACTTTTTGTTTTTTCACCTTCAGTGAAATGTTGGTAAAAACAAACTGAATGTTCCCATAACTGAGTGGCTCTTAGATGCTTATATGAAAACTTACCAAGCAGGTTATGTAGAAGTCACTGGGACCACTACGAACTGAAACTGGGAGAACTCAAAGGACAATAATTCACATGGTCATCACATCTAGAAGTGGAAATTAATGACTAGTTTTACGTGACTCAATTCTACACCAACCAGTTCTATTTCAACCAGCTCTACATCACCAAGGTCTACATCAACCGCACAACTTCACCCAGTTCTACAGTCCTTTACTGAGATAACAGACTTTAAACTCCAGCTGGTCGTTTATAAATTACTGAACAGATCAAAGATGTGCTGCTGCTGGATCAACCTTCAGATCTCTCAGGTTGTGGTTCTGATTCTTCTCTGCATCCAGAAACAGAAGCGAACATGGACCAGCAGCAATCAGCTTCTATGCACCGCAACCTCCAGCAAAATGCAACCCAGGCAAAGCAATCAGTTTCTTTAAATCAAGGCTAAAACCCACCAGTTTAAAGTTCCTTTGAGCCATGAACAATTAAACATTGATCAACATGATACTGAAGATTATTGATTATATTTATAATTGCTCCGTTTTTATGGCTTTTTGTTTTTTAATAATGTAAAAGTCTTTGGACGGATTTCATTTGGTGAAATGTGGTATACAAATAAACTTTATTGATTGGCAAAAGACAACGAGAACGCCCAAAAATGTGACATTAGTTTTGTATTTAGGTTTCTATGTAAAATGAAACATGTTTGCGTGGCCATTTTGTGGGGACTTTCCATTGATTTCCATTAATTTCTACAACCTAAACCTTACCCTTAACCTTAATCAGAACTTAATTCACGCGTTGGTCCTAAATCTGAACCCTGACTAAAATACAGCATTTTCCCTGAGGGGACCAGGCTTCGGTCCCCACAAGGAGCAGCGGGTCCCCACAACACTGTACATGTCACGAAAACCCAAAAGGTAATATAAACAAACTCACAAACACGCACACTCACACACACACATACGCACACACACACGCACATACACACACACATACACACACACCCACCCACCCACCCTCACACATACACGCACACACGAACACACGCACGAACGCACGCACACAGGCCGGTCTGTCAGGAACTCCAGGCCTCTTTCTCTCCACAGTTTGCTCCTGGGCTGCTGCATAATTAAGATAATAAAAACTCCAGAGGACAAACTAATCTGGATATTTTAATCTCATCTCTGAAAAGTGAAGAAAGACTGACTTGTTAGTTTTGCTGAAGGCAATGACTCAGGATTGTGCTTCTTGTGTTGATGGAGGAGTGTGTAAATGGCTTTGCAATGTTTAAGAGCCTTTCCTTCACTGAGGAGCTCAAGTAGTTGAAGGAAAACTCCAAGGAATCTTTAAAGTAACGTCCAGAATGGCCAGGTCCACTTTACATGTGACCAGGGAGAATAAGGGGACGGGTCAGAAGGTGGTCAATCCTGAAGCTACTTCTTCACATTTCTGATTATTAGAGCTTATCTAACCTTTTTCTATTTCCTAGAATGTTAACATCAAGCTTAAGGTGGTAGTTTGAAAAAACCGGTTGGATTTTATACTGTTGCTAAACAAACCAATGCTTTATTTTCCTAAAAAGTTTGCTTTAAACATTTTGTCTGTGAGAAGGAGCTCTTATCATTAGATATCACACCATCCACACCAGATATTTTAATCCTTTTGTAGTTTACAGCATGTTGCTGATGCTTATGGGGATCTCATTGAACATAAATAATTATAAACATAAACATGAACCTCCAGTCCCAGACAAAGCAGCACAGACTCTGTTGCAGAAACACCCACATCACATTTACAGATAACAGTTCTCTCTATGCTTTTCCAATCCCAAGGCCTTAGAAACGACTTGCTGACCATTTCCAGACTGAAATATCAAAGATTTATTTCTTCTCTCTTCCTAAATGTATTTACATCAGGCTATGATAAATAAAGCTATATTTCAACAAACTGTATACATAGGATTGAAATGAATTAAGCATTTAAAACAACATTTTTGTATTTACTGGGATCAACTTTACATGACACTAAAATTTGTCCACAATCTGACAAAACTGAGAAAAGCAAATTCAGAAGGAATCGTGAGCTCCAACATGTTTCCAGAGATATTAGGAGGGTTTTATGTATTAAACTCATCCAAGAGTAAATGACTGGGATTTCATAGAGCTGATAAAGACATCAATGGTTTATGATTCCTGTATGAAACCAGAGAGATGGAGACGGCTGACAGAATCACGGTCCACATCAAGGCCAACAATCTTTGTTAACAGAAATCCCACCTGGCTGCTGCAGCCAGTATCTAAAACCCAACTGGGTTTTTCATCCCATCATTTTCAGTCTGGTGTGACCTGCGAGCTGGGCTGGGGGCTATAAAGAGATGATCAATGATTATCAATAGGAATGAGGAGAAATGGCTTCAGGTGTGACACACCCATCACCAACCTGAACTTCTGATCAGAAAAACTCAGCAGGCTGAATTGTTGGAGTAAAATATTTTCTTCCCCTGCCAGATCATCAGTGAAGGTTTATAAACCCTCCATTCCCCTGTTGAAGACACATTGCTTCCAGAAAGTCCTGCTGCTGCTTTGATTCTTCATCACAAGGTAAGATTTGACTAAAACTGGATGATGTCAACCTATAGTTGCATTTTTGATATGCTGAGATTTAAGCGTACAAAGAAGGAACAGTAAGTTTAAATCTTACTAAAAGCTTTTATGTTCATATTTATGAATTAAAATGTATGTCATTTAGTTCAGCAGATTGTTATAAATATTTCATAAAATCATTGAGTTTTTCTCAGTCATATCTCAGAGTAACTGAATGTTTCCTGCTTTCATACAGATGAAATTCATCCTTTTTACTTTGTTCCTCTGTGGATTCATCCTGGAAATCAATGTGAGTGAAAACCTTCTGTTCTCTTTGTGGTTTGAATATCTGTTGTTAAAACATTATTTTACTGGTTTTATTTAGCAATTGTAGTTTTTTGTTTAGTTGTTAACCAGATTTTAGTTTGATGCTTACAGCTCCAAGAAGCTTGAAGTAAAAATCTTCTGTCGTTTCCATTTGTGATTAATTTTGTCTTTTGTTTATTTATTTTTTAACAGGCAGGACGTGGTTTTCAGAAACCGAAAGGTTAGTGTTGCAAGTTTTAATATGAAGATCATTGAATCTAAAATTATGAAACATACATTTTCATTAGATCCTGGATAGCTGAACTTTTCAGTGTCTGATATTAATATCTGAATCTTTCATATCACAGAATCAAGGTCGTTGGCTGAACTATTGTCCCATGTGACATGTGAGGGATCAGTTGGTCACATCAAGTGTGGTAAGGTCACTGGTTTTACTGGTTGGTCTGGAGCATTACAGCATGAATACATTCAGATTTCCAACATTTCCTCTTCTATCTTCCAACAGCAAGTGGGGCGCTATTTCTGATCAGCGTTAGATATGGACGCACCGATCGGATGACGTGCTCCCAATTTATTCCTGGCGAACGCACAAAGAATACTAATTGTTCTGTGAATGGAGCTTCAGAACTTGAGAGGTACAGAGCTTCAGTCTTTGTTAAAGGATTTTCAAACAGAATATTAATTAACAAATCCAAGAAACACCAAATCACAATTTCAAGAAAACTGATTTTGATCTGGATCCACAGATGTGCGGCGGAATCGGAGTGTACTGTCTCAGCCAGTAATTTTGTGTTTGGAGATCCCTGTCCTGGAACCTACAAGTACCTGGAGGTGCTTTATATATGTCAAAGTGAGTTTATGGTCTAACTTCAGTGCAGTCTTTTTATATTCAATAACAACATTGAAAAACATTCATGTCACATTTGTTTTATCCAGGTGATTTAAATTGCCTTCCTTTATCAAAAGGAAACTCCATCAATAACAGCTTCATTTTTAATGTTCTTAACCTTATTAACAAATCCAGATATTTAATTGGCAAATTAATTGACATAAGTTTTTTTTCTACATTTATCCATATAAGCAAGGTTACATTTTTGCATTTTAATTTTCATTCATATAGTTTTTTTTATGTATTTATTTTATTTATTAATTTGTTTATTCTTGTTTTTTGATTCCTCTAATTTCTTCCTTTTTGTATAAAACACGTAGCATCACATCATAAAATATCCAGACTTGGAGTTTGGTTGCCATGTTGATCCTGTGGAGCAGCTTTTGTCCAAACTCTGCAGTATCGTTAAAACTTTTCCCTCAACAGCTGTAATGTTCCAGTCCAGCTCAGTAACACAGTCAGTAGCGCTAATGCCTTGCAGCAACAAGGTCCTGGGTTTGAATCCCAGCCTGGGTCTTTCTGCATTTATTTAGAAAGAATACATTTAATTTTTGCATCAAAGCCAGAAAACCAGCCTTGAGTCTCCAAATGCCTTGTTGCAGGTTTAGAACTGGTGATATTTTACTTTCTGATGTCTAAAATGCATTCTGCTGAGATTATATTGATATTTTCCAGATCCATTACCACGTATTTCTCCCAATAACGACCATCAGATCTGATGTGCTGAGAATGAAATGCATCACAATCAATAACATCTACAGACCTTGTGATCCACTGATGTGCAGCTTCATCTCTCTTCAGTGTCTTCTAGTTTTCTTTACATTTTATTTGTTTTTCTTCCCCAATCTTCATCCAACTTTCGTCAATAAACCTGACATGCATTTACATTTTGCTAAATTTGCCTTTGTTCGCTACAAACAGCCTGATGGGGTGAAAACTTTGACAAACTCCTTCCAAACTATGAAGACAGTTAAAAAACGGTTTCCAGTCTGAAGGAACATATGGAGGAAGTTGGTTGAATGTCTGTGAGAATGCTGCCAAAAAATCATCTGGATCAGATCAAGATGGCCACCAGCCAGACGCGACACCTTCGGACGTTTAAACAGTCAATAATTGAGAATCACTGCTCTGGAGTGAGTTTGCTGCACTGAAAGTAATGGGGCAGAATAATATTTCATGCTTCACTTTGCAGTTTTTTATTGTGAAAAGTTTAAAATATCCATTAAATGTAATTCCATCTGAGAATTGTGTCCCACTTTTTATTGATGCTTCACAAAATAATGTTTTAGATCGTTATGTTTGAAGCCTGAAAAGCGGCAATAATTGAAAAGTTCAAGGGGTTCGAATACTTTCGCAAGGAACTGTAATTCAAAATAAAACTAAAAACAAGACACATACACACCAATTAACCTAAATAAACACATTTATGTGAACATCCTACTTCGGCCAGTGACTTATCATCTTGTTTTTTTTATTTTGATCAGGAAGAAAATATATATTTAAGAGTTACATCCACAGCGCTGATTATGTGACTGATTACTGGTGTCTGGATTCTCCCTCAGAGAGAAAAGCTCTGCCATCCAGGAGGGACTCAGAGTAGATCCGCTGCTCCTCCACATCGAGAGGAGCCAGTTGAGGCTGGGACTCTGGTCAGGATGCCTCCTGGACGCCTGCCTGGTGAGGAGTTCACGTCCCACCGGGAGGAGGGGAAGACAAGGACACGCCAGAGGGACGATGTCTCCCTGCCGGCCTGGGAACGCCTTGGGATTCCCGTGGAGGAGCTGGAAGGAGAGGCTGGGAGAGGGAAGTCTGGGCCGCCCTTGTTAGGCTGCTGACCCCGCGACCCGACCCCGGATAAGCAGAAGAAAAATGGCACTGAGAATGTAATGCCTGTTCCTGGTTTCTCCATTGTCACTGTATGGTGTTTTTATGATCTTTTATTTTTGTGTTTTTATGATGTAAAACACTTTGAAACTGCCTTGTTGCTGAATTTAGCTTTAATACAAATAAAGTTGATTGATTGATCCCTTGTGTGTCAGCAGTGGTCTGATAAGCCTCTAAAGTTTCCTTCATGTCTTGCTGTGAGGTCAATTTGTGCTCAAGTTATTTTGTTACTCACTCAGTTAAGGCTGTTATCTTGCCCTCTGTTTAGTTCCATTTTATCATTTTTTTTTTTACATTTCTTAATAGTTTACAGAGTAGGATGGCGTTGGGAGTACAAGTCAAAGGATTTTAAAGTATCTTCCAAACTTTGGGAACCTGGGTGGCTCAAGCATCTGGTCTCTGATGGGTCATGATTTCACTTGTTTGACGTTACCATGGAGGTTTACAGACAGATTTATTTCCTCTATTAATTGTATTTTACTCTAAAGTTTATTATCTTTTTCCAAAGAAATAAACTGACATGACAAAAAAGTTTATTGATGCAACAGATTTATTTGAAAAAAGATTTTATCCTTGTATCTTCCAGCAGCGACGCCATCGAGGCCTGACATCCTGGAGGAAGTGACATCACCAGTGAGAAGGTCACATGGTCATGTTGGATTTCTCAGGAAGAGGAAAGAGGAGTTAGCGTCTTTTGGCACAGATGGAGTAACTCCTTGCGGTGCATGGTGCATCATTCATGTCTCCTGAAGAGAAATAATGATAATAATTATGATGATAATAATAATAATAATAATAATAATAATAATAATAATAATATAAAATAAATATTTCAGCAGCTGTTGAATCTGTTTGGGATACAAACCCAGAAGGTCCTAAGATTTATTAAAATCATCAGATTAACTAATTAGTAGCTATATGCTGCATAGCATCGTTAGCTCTGTTCTCAGAGTTTCAGAATGCTCACCTAGCTCGTAGATCTCCATGCAGTGTTCCTTTCCACCAGAGTTATCTGGTTGCCCCTTGCCCCACTGGGTGAAGCTGAACTTTGACCCATCATTCCACAGCCACACACCCTCCTGAAACCAAGTGGTTTTTAAGCACATAGTTTATGATACATGCATTTTATTATTAGGTTCCAACACTGAGGACTGCAGCTGTCCATCTCTGAGGGTATATAAGGTGTCCAAAGTTCACCTCAGGGGACATTTTGTAACCAGGAATAATTTTACATCCCCAAAGATCATAATCTAAATAAAACCCACCAGCACAGGTGGTTTATGCAAAGACAATTTTAATATTTTATTGCAAGATCCATTCATCCGTCCATCGATCCTTTGCTTATCTGGTCAGAGATCGGAGACCCAGATTTCCCTCTCTCTGCCCCTTTTCCCAGCTCCTGGGTAAAAGCAAACAATTTGCTCTAACCATCCCTCACTACCAAAAAATTAAATAAAAAGAAAAAACTGACCTTGACGGCATCATAGCCTCCGAGCCAGGTCCTCTGGTACGATCCTTTCTCAAATCTGATCAGCTTCTGGAGGAAAGTGAGTTCACCTTGTTGTGGATGGAGGCCAGATTTCCACCATATCCAATGCAGGCACGCTGAGAAAACAAACAAAAATCAAAATACAAACCATGAACACTGAAAAGCAACAACAGCAAAATTAAGTTAATAAAAAAGAAAAAAAATCTGATTAATTGTTAAAGTTTGTTCGACTCTTCTGAAGACATTGTAGCGACACTTGATGGCTAGCAGCACATTTTGTTGCTCTGAAACTCGTTTCATTGAACAACGTCTGGAAAATGAGTCGTTTCTTTTCTCTGTATTGTCTTTACAGTCCTGATTTTTTGTGCTGGTGGATCACAACAGGTTGCAAGCAAGGGCGTAAATCCCAGCAAATTATTGGAGGGAAAAATAAACAGGAAGTTTTCTTAAGACCAATTTTAGGGGGTCGGAAAAGAAATCTCATGTAAAATGTGGTTTAAAAACGTCTCAAAGCTTCTAAACCACAGATTTGCTAGTTTTGATTTCCAAACCATAACAAGATTCAGTCAAAGTGATGAAACAACAAACTGCAGTCTGATTTTTATTGATAATATTTCACTCTATTGAGCAGTGAAAATAAATACAAAGTTTACATCTTTTGCTTTAAGTTACTTACTGGAGGGTTTTATGTTTAGCACTGTTTAGCTGTTGCTCCTCCTACACTTTGGACTGAACCATTGTTCTAATAATGGTGGGGGCCTAAAAATTCCTTCTTATTTTGTAGATGAGACAGATTTACTTAATTCTTTGTTTCTTGCCTTTTCATATTGTTTAAATGCAACATTTATTCAATGATACTTTGGGGGGAGTACAATTCTAGACTTTTCCATATTTGGGGGTTAAGGGAGAACCTGGACCCTCAACAGGCTTCTTTGTTAAAGGGAAGTTTTCCTTTCCACTGTCGCTACATGCATGTTAGATATGAAGGATTACTGTAAAGTTAACAAGAAAACACAACTGATCGTCCTGATGTATCACTAGGATTTATTGAAATGCTTATTATTGAGCTGAATTGATTATTTAATAGTGTCATGAAGTGAAAGTTGTTGTGAATTATGGTACATTCAAATTAAACAAAAGCATTCAAAAGGAAATTCTAGATTCCAGATTAAGCTCTCAAAAACATTAAGGAAATTACAAACTGATTATTTATAAAAGAAATGTCTGGTCAGACAGGGCAGAGATTAATTAAAAAGTTAAATAAATAAAGTGGCAGATTTACAACTAGCATAAAATTAACTGTTTTTTGCCTTAAGCAGTGATTTTTTTACTGTACCTCAGCAGTAGCCCAGTCAGTTTGGTTATTCTGGAAGATGAAACAGCGATTTCCATAATTATTCCAACCACGTGGGCATGAACGAGCTGGGAAATGCAAAGAAGTGCAACAGATCCTAAATAAAAGCTAAACAATATTTATTATCAAAATGAATTTGAAGAAATTATATATCTTATCAAATGGAACAGAGACGAGCAGCAGAATCCTTGTTCTTCATAAATAAATGACAATGTATTAAAGCAGCTATGTTGTTGATGAGTATCACATTTAGACTTCTGTGTAATTAATCAAAATCCATCATAAAGTCAAAATGTAACAAAACTGTCAGCTTCCTTTCCGTCAGATGGAAATACTTACCACATTCAGCCTGTGAATAGAGAGAACATAGAGATTAATAAAACCATATGTCACTCAAAACTGCTAATCTAGCTGAGTTTCATCAATGTTTTATCCTACAATTAACTTGGATGAACATACTAAAGAAAAAAATTATATGGCAGACCCAAACCCTACGGTCTGCCTTACCCTAAACCTGACCCTAACCCTAATCCTAACCCTAACCCTAATCCTATTTTTATAAATATATAAAGTCCTGTATCTGTTTATCCATATCAAATGAGAAACTTCTCACAGAGATCAGAACCCAAACGTTTCAGAAACTTTTATTACATCAGATCAATTTTAAAGTGCTGTAACCAAACATATTCATAAAAGGTTGAGTGAAAGAAAAACAGTCCCTATGCAATAGTTCAGAAATTCAAGCAAAAGGAGCCCAGACCGGGTGCTGAGAGCTTAGAAACTGTCAAGTTTAAAGGTACAAAGCATTTATTTAGAGGTGAGTACAATTAATTGGTAGATAATTTTTAACTACACAATTTTAATATTCTGTACATTTTAACAATATTGCATGTATTTTTTCAACTTTAAACAAAAAGTTCCAGAGGGAGTTTTAATAGTCCAAATAGTGAGCTTTGTGAAGGTCTTTTAAGTTTAAAGACCTTTAACTCACAGTTGCAGTGCCTATATGTATGTAACTGTCTGTCAGTCCTGCTCGCTGTTCACCTGCCAGCAACCAATTAGCTGTTTTATCATCCAGCTGCTGACTGACCTGATTAGACTCACCTGGTGGAGCGCCACCTGCAGGGCAGCAGGTTGCCCTTACAGTAATGAACAGAATCTTTTATCATCAATCAAATGTAATATTCAACTTTTTGGAAACACTAAATTTTGGGTTTTCATTCTCTGTGAGTCGCAATTATCAAATGCAAGATGTAATATTTTGACTGTATGTGTAAGAAAATCTATATAATATAATAAGTTTGAATGTCTGACATAAATACTGAACTTTTCACAATAACTTTATTTTAAATGTTTAATACAGTAACTCTTCATTCTGTGACTCAGCTTCACTCTAAACATTTCCTCAATAATATTTTATAATGTTTTCCACTTGAGAAAAGAAGAAGGCAGACTCACATCGGCTCCGCTCCAGAGAACGCAGCTCAGAGAGAGGAGCAACGCCAAGTAGAGAACTGAGGCCATCTGAGGGACAATCAGCACAAATATTCACTTTTTCAGGAATAATGAATTTACAAAGCGGTCATATGTATTCACACCAACCATGACTAACTAGCCATGGTTTACACTTGTTCTTATCAAACCTGAGGAAGCACTAAGGTTTGATGACTTATGTTCAAATCCATCAACTGCAGCAGGAAGCTCCAGCCAGCAGAGCACAGCTAACGAGGCTAATGAGGCTAACGAGGCTAACGAGGCAGCTGGAACACTGACTGCTAAGCATGCTGCCAATGTACCTGAGATATTTAGAGAAAGTTTAGGAACATCTTGCAGTCGACTTCCAAGTATTCTTTGTGACCTTGGACTCTTCAGCTGAAGGTGTCAGGACAAGAGCGTCAGTGACCTTGAGTCCAGTGCTAACGTTGTTAGCCACTCTGAGATGCTTAAAGCTACAATTCGGAGCTACAGGAGGAAAACAGGCTGAAGCTGAAACTTCCTGACAACAAAAGGACAAAAAGGCATCAAACAAACAAACTAAGTGAGCTGAAGGTCTTTTCTTAGCCGTGGGCCGAGACTCTGAATATTTTAGGCAGTACAGTGGAACGAGGCTGAGCTGACCTTTAGATGACCTCCTATTTGTCTTAGCAACTGAAACCCGGTGAACCGTAGCAGCAGGGAGATGCTGGACTTTTGTAGAAATTTATTTCTGATCACAAGTCATCACCAAGTTATGCTGATGCCTTGCTTTCTATGTTTCTGACCTGCTGAAGTCAAAACTCCAGATATTAAATCATGTTGGAAAAATGTCTGTAAAAACATTTCAAATGAAAGCAAACAGATTGTTTTTGGTCCACCTTTATTTAACAGCAAGAAGAGAAAGCCCACCTACATATCTAGGTAAATAGAACCCCATTAGGATGCAGCATCAACCACCCTGAAAAAAGTCCTCACATCTATAGAAACATATTTTCATGTTTGCTCAGATTTTTGGTCTTTTCTGAGACAAATGAAGAAACTCCCTGACTGACCAATCACTGCATTGTTGCTAAAGACGAGCGCGAGTCCCGAGACATTGTTGGTCGTAGTCAGTATCTGATGATATGACAAAAGATCTACTTGAATTTTAAAAGCAAAGCGATAAAGAAGAGCAGCTCAACGTTACCGTTCTTTGGGTTGTGAGCAGTGAAGTCGTCTCAGCAGCAGGACCTGGAACCAGGATGATCAGGGATGGAAGTGCAGACTTTAAATACCCTCACTGGGTGTGTGACCATCATCTGTCATCACTGATAGGGCAAATAATTAATATTT